TTATTTGGATATTAACGTATTTTATATTTATATTTTTTACTTAATGTTAAATTTATTTACATATATATTTAATAGTGTTAAAAACCGATCAATCTGACCGAACCACACCGATCCGATTTAAATTGGATTGGTTTGGTTATCATATAATAGTGGATTGGATTGATTTAAAAATTTTACTAACCGATTAAATTGGATTGAGTTAAAAAATGTTAAAATCCGAACCAAACCACCCCGCGAACACCCCTAGTGCCACATGGCAAGGATAAAGTTTATCATTTTATTAATTGAGTTTAATTCAAATTAGAAAGTTAGAGGATTTTTACCAGAGAGTTATTAGGGTTTTATTAGAATTAGGATACTATGTTTACTTTAGGATTTATAGCCCTTTTTTTAATATTTTTATAATTTTAAAGTTTTTGAAGTTATCCAAGATAAGTAATAAGTCAATGCAGAACATCACTTTAGTTTGCAACATCATTTGAGGCATGGAATAATTCATAGATCGACATCTTTTTCAATTAGTGTACTCTTGGTCAGCTGTTAGAAAGGAGTGGATTGTCAAAAAAATCTTATTTTTTTGCTTTCAAATAAAATGAGTGGCATACCCTAAACTCATACTTACATTACAGGGGCTAGCTAAAGATTTTTGAGAAACATTATGCTTAGTTGAACTTCCTTCCCTCAAATTTGTTGCAGACCATGGTGACTTACCCCACCATTAATTGGGTACGTAGCGACTCCTCTTTACTTTTTCCATCTTTCTTTTTTTTTTTTTGGTTTTTCCCATTGTTTTGAAAACCCGAATCGAATCGGCTGTTCAAATTGGTACCTGGTGTTATAAATGAATCGGATGAGTGCTTAGAACCAATGAAGTGGTTGAACCGTATAAAACCAATAAAATCATTTGAATCGATATAAATTAATAAACCGAACGGTTTAAAATTATTAAAAAATTTTCTTTAGATTGACTTAAATAGAGATATTGACAGACTTTTATCACTAGGATATCACTTGCAAAGTTGCAATTGTGATATGATTATCTCCAAATTTTATTTATTTTATTTTTGGTCAGCTGCCTTTTGTACGGTTCCTCACCCAATGTGAAGGGCAATATCGTTGACTTTCCTAATAAAATTAATATAGTATTTATCTAATTTTTATTTTAAATATTTAATTAAAAATGTAATAAATATAAATTTTTATAAATAATTTACATAAAAAATTATAAAAATTGATATTTATTCTAATGCTATTGGTATGTAAAAATAGTTTAATTGATTAATTAATTAATTTAAAATTAACTTTTATAATTTTTATATAAATTAATTAAGAGAATAATACGTATTATTCTTGATTTTTTAAAACATTTAGAGTTTTAATTTATATTTAAAAATTAAAATCTTAATTTGAAATTTAAAAATTTAATCAATTTTTAAATTTAAATTTCAATATTCAATAAAATTAATTTTCAAATTTTAAATTAAATTTTAATCAAATAAAACAATATAATTTAATATTAAGATTTTAATTTTTTTTAAAATCATAACTAATATTAATTTTTCTTATTAATTAAAAAATATATTTATTTCCCCTTAACATGAATAAGAAAAACTTAATAATATATTATAAGTTAGAAATACAATAATATAAATTTTACATTTATTTATAATTAGTTTATATAAAAAAATTATAAAAATTGATGTTTATATAGATGATTTTAATTGATTAATTAATTAATTTAAGTCAACCTTTATAATTTTTTATATAAATTAATGAAAAAATTACATTTATTGTATATTTTACATGTGAAGAAATCCTTTAATATATTTCAAGTTAGAAGTTAAAAGCATTAAAATTACATTCTAGCACCAACAAGATTCGAACTTGCATTTCCTCTGTAATAAGGGACAAGAGACGGCAACAAACCAATGGAACCACTGGTGTGTCAAACTATAGCCTAACATTATAGTTATTCATATTCAATTGAACTGGCGGTTTGAACAATTGAACCGATTAAATCGATCAAATCAAAAACCAAAAATCAAAATGGTTTGATCTCTGAGTCGGTTTTCAAAACAATGGTTTTTCCTTTTCCCGTTTTATTATTTTATTTTATTTTTCCTTTCTCTTTTCATATTAATTTTTGAATTCTATGTAGTTGACAACAACCACCCAAAGTCATGCTAACAAATTAACCCAAAAGAAAATCACTGTCATGTTTTTGTCTTCTTCAACTTGGGTTAAGACTAACACCACCCCTTGCCAAAAAGGAAGAATCTCTCACAAAGGAGAGAGAAACCTCAAAGAGGAAAAAACTCTTACTTTTATTCATACTTCTTAACTATTGCCACTGAAGGGGAGAGAGGTAACGGTTAGGGAGAAAAGAAGAAAAGAGGGTGACAGCTATGGAGAAAAGAAGACAGAATGGTGTTCTGGTTTCAAAAGTGATTCCGAAACGGGTTAACCTAGATGCAATTAATGCATATTTTTACCATTAAGTTACATAAAAAAATTAAAGAAGTTTACATTAATTTTAACAATTATCAAATTAAAATAATAAATGTAATATTAGTGATAAAATTAATATTAACTTTTTTTAAATTTTGTTGCGTAACTTAATAGTTAAAAGATATACTAATTGCACCCTTAAAAAGCACAAGTGAACAAAACCCAATACTAAAAGAAAAATTATTCAAAGATAATTTTTTTTATATAACTTTTTTTACAACCTTACATGTCGATTAATACTTGCTCTTTTTACTCTATTTATAATATTATATATATTTATTTATTTAATGATACGTAAAAATTATATAAAATTTTTTTTAAAAAAATTATTCTCATTCATTACCCATACCAAAAACTCAAGAACCCACTCACCCATCTATCAAAATGAATTAACCACCATAAATAGATGAAAGAATTTCGTTTGGAGTTATATATTAAAATTAATGTGCATTTTCTATCCATAAAATATTAAATCCAGCATTTTTTTTGTTTTTTTGAAAGTATTACAAACATGTAAGTCCTTAAACTGAAAAAGGTGCATTAAAGCCCTCAATGATTAAAGCCCTCAAACTCTGTCATTGATGCAATGCAGCCCTTTGATAGAGTTTTCCCTTAGGCTTTGATGGTATCGTTAATGGATTTAATAAGAAAAGGGTTAATGGCAATCTAGTCCATGAATTAGTCAAATTTTAAATAAAATCAAACCGTAAACTACAACAAAATACTTAAAATGACTCATTTTCTACCATTTAACTTTCTTTTATTGTAAATCTATCTTGACCCAATTAAATTATGTAAATTATAAAAATTTGTCGAAATTGTTTTTTTGTTGATAATATATTCCTATTAACAATTTAGTCATATGATTTGACTAAATTATTTTTTATTCATTCAAAAAAACTTAGATTATCGAATGAGAACATGTGGCCAAAAAAGCCCTTTTTCCTAATGGTGTTTAATCTACACGGAAGTATAGAAAAACAAATGGAAAAAGTATTTAAGTCATTTTTTTAAAATTTTTTAAAAAATATATCTAAAAATTTATTTTTTAATTAATTTTTTTAAAAAATTAACTATTGAATTGAAAGTTTTATTTATATAGATTATGCATATTAATTTTCAAATTATTCTAATAAATTTAATCATTTTATTAATTTCAAAAAATTTAATATTATTAAATATATAAGTAAATAGAGTTTTTTAATTAAAAAATTATAAATATTAAATTAATATAAAATTTAACATGTATAATTTACAATATAAATTCAATAAAACTTTTAATCTAATAATTAATTTTTAAAAATATTAATTAAAATATAAATTTTTGAAAAATGATTGGTATATCTTTCGGTTCAACACATTTAACAACATCCTTCGGTTTAATCATTAAAAATATAATATAAATACAATCAATTCAACCAGTTCTTATATCCTGTATGTATTATTGTATCATTAAATTTATCTGCTTTTAATTTCAAATTAAAAAATAGTGATTTTTTAATTAATGTGTTATATAGTGTGTTGAACTGAAAGGTATACCAATCACTATTCTAAATTTTTATATATGTCCTAAATTTTTATATATGTCTTCCAAAAAAATTTTGAAAACGCGACTTACTATATAGGGTCTTCAAAACAAATAACAAAAGTTTTTCATGCAAGCTGGATCCAAATAAAGGTTAAGGATAAAGGTGTCCCATGTCACAAAGGTTGGGGATGGGAAAGGGAATTTACCCTTTAAAACTATGAGAATTTCCGATGCGGTTAGTCCCATGTATATAATTTGGACCACCTTAACTCGCATAACACTGCTTTTCCGCTTCCAGAGTTCCTCTTGTGCCGCCCCATTTAACGTACCTTCCCACTTCTTCACGTTCTCCAGCTTTTTGCTCTCTGCATTTCTTCCCCAAGACATTCAAAAAAAAAAAAAAATTTTTCTCTTCCATTTTCCCAAATAAATCTCACCGGGGTCTTGTCCCAAGTTGCTCCCTCGTTCTCTCTTGAGTTTTTTGGTTTTCCCAAAACCCAAATAGAAAAGAACTAGAAGATGGATTTTCTTGATTTAGAAGAGAAGCTGAAAAGAGCTGTCCGCGTTCGGAAGCAAAATTGTATGGGGCTGAAGTCTAGCCTGGATGCGGACAAGCTGGTGGCTAATATTGATAATGCTATTGATGAGGCTCTAGAAGAAGGGCACGAGACTGACGAGGTCATGAATTGGATGCGTACAGTGGAAGATCCGGAGTACATTAATCTTTCTGACTTAAGGGAAGAATTTAAAAACAAAGGCAAGAAGTTTTGCTTTGGGTGGTGTCCAAATCTCAAGTCTCAACACCAACTCAGCAAGGAAGCAGATAAGTATGTCCATGAAGTTGCTGAACAGCTGAAAAAGATTAGGAGAGCACATGAAAAGGCTCCCTCAAAGATGGATTTTTTTTATTTCAGAGATAAGGTGAAAAGAGCTGTCCGCGTTTGGAAGCAAAATTGTATGGGGCTGAAATCTAGCCTGGATGCGGACAAGCTGGTGGCTAATATTGATAATGCTATTGATGAGGCTCTAGAAGAAGGGCACGAGACTGACGAGGTCATGAATTGGATGCGTACAGTGGAAGATCCGGAGTACATTAATCTTTCTGACTTAAGGGAAGAATTTAAAAACAAAGGCAAGAAGTTTTGCTTTGGGTGGTGTCCAAATCTCAAGTCTCAACACCAACTCAGCAAGGAAGCAGATAAGTATGTCCATGAAGTTGCTGAACAGCTGAAAAAGATTAGGAGTGCACATGAAGAGGCTCCCTCAAAGATGAATTTTATTGATTTCGAAGAGAAGGTGAAAAGAGCTGTCCGCGCTCGGAAGCAAAATTGTATGGGGCTGAAGTCTAGCCTGGATACGGACAAGCTGGTGGCTAATATTGACAATGCTATTGATGAGGCTCTACAAGAAGGGCAAGAGACTGAAGACGTCATGAATTGGATGCGTTCAGTGGAGGATCTGGAGAACGGTGTTCTTTCTGACTTAAGGGAAGAACTTGAAAACAAAGGCAAGATGTGTTGCTTCGGGTGGTGTCCTAATCTCAAGTCTCAACACCAACTCAGCAAGGAAGCAGATGAGTATGTCCATGAAGTTGCTGAACTGCTGAAAAAGATTAGGAGAGCACATGAAAAGGCTCCCTCAAAGATGGATTTTTATTATTTCAGAGGTGAGGTGAAAAGAGCTGTCCGCGTTTGGAAGCAAAATTGTATGGGGCTGAAGTCTAGCCTGGATGTGGACAAGCTGGCGGATAATATTGATAATGCTATTGATGAGGCTCTACAAGAAGGGTGCAAGACTGAAGAGGTCATGGATTGGATGCGTAGAGTGGAAGATCTGGAGTACATTCGTTCTGACTTAAGGGAAGAATTTGAAAACAAAGGCAACAAGTGTTGCTTCTGGTGGTGTCCTAATCTCAAGTCTCAACACAAACTCGGAAAGGAAGCAGATGAATATGTCCATGAAGTTGCTGAACTGCTGAAAAAGATTAGGAGAACACATGAAGAGGCTCTCTCAAAGACAGAACAGAAAGTGGCTGCAGCAGCTGTTAAAAATTTCATGAACTTTGACTCTAGAAGCGATGTTTGGGAGGAGATCATGGTGGCACTGCAAAGTCCAAGAATCAGCAGCATTGGAGTGTATGGGGAGGCTGGTGTGGGGAAAACGATGCTGGTTGAAGAAATCAAAAGAAAAGCCGATCAACTGAGGTTGTTTGACGATGTTGTCATGGCTAAAGTGACAAATAATCCAGACATGAAAAGAATCCAAGATGACATCTCCCATGACCTGGATCTAGAGCTTCCTGATAGAGTAACAGCTGCTAACCGAATAAGGTCAAGGCTGACAGACAGGAAGGTTCTTGTCATTTTAGATGACATTTGGGCAAGAATAGATTTGGAGGAAGTTGGAATTCCATTTGGAAACAAACACAAGCAGAAGCTCAAGCAGCCTACAGAGAAAAAGGAGGAGGAGATCTCATCAGTAGAAGAACAAACAAGGTGCATTCTTTTAATGACATCTAGAGACTCTGGTGTTTTATCACGAGACATGCATGCTCATAAAATTGTTGAAGTTCGCCCATTAAAATCAAAGGAAGCAAGGGAACTTTTTGAGAAGATCGGTGGTCAACAAGCTAAAAATCTTATTTTGCAGCATACTGCAGAGAACAATGAGAAGATAGAAGGTGAGCAACGTATTAAAGAGGCAGATGAGATTGTCAAAGACTGCAAGCAATTGCCCATCGCTATTGCAACACTGGCAAGTACCTTGGAAAATAAGAATCTAATACAGTGGAGGACTACCATAAAAAAGCTTCATTCTCATCAAAGGTCCTCCAAGCCTGAGGTAAACTTGAGTGGGATGTCACCAAGCCTTTGTTCAGCTATCAAGTTAATATATGGTGATTTGGAAAGCAAGCAACTCAAACAAACTTTATTGCTTTGTAGTCTAATGGGTCAAAATGTAGGCATTCAAGATTTGTTAAAATATGGCAAAGGCTTGGGATTATTCCCAAAAGCCAACTCTATTGAGGCAGCAAGAGATGAAGCACTGAAATTGATGAAAGAATTGAGAAACCTTTCTTTGTTGTGAGAAGGTGGAGACAATATGCATTTTGATATGCATGATTTAATTCAAACAGTTGCCATATCAATTGCTTCTCCGGAGCATGGCCTATTAGATTTGAGAGAGGATGCAGCTAAGGACATGTTTGACAGGAAGGCAATGAAAGAGTGCAAATGGATTTATTTATCACATGGTGATGCTAGACTTGCTGGTCAGCTTCCACATAGGTTGGAATGCCCACAGCTCACTTTCTTTCACTTAGCTAGCAAATATCCTAATTTGAAAATTTCAGACGACTTTTTTAGGGGAGCAGATGGACTCAGAGTCTTGGGATTGACTAAAATGCATTTTTCGTCAATTCCATCATCAATTGCACGCTTAAAAAACCTTCATACCTTGTGTCTGGATCAAAGTAAGTTAGGTACAATCCCAGTCTCTATCATGGGAAACTTGAAGAATTTGCAAGTCCTCAGTCTTGTAGGATGTGACATTGAAGGGCTGCCTCAGGAAACCAAGCAACTGGCTAAGCTGAAGTTGTTAGATTTGAGTGACTGTACTAAACTTAAAGTAATTCTACCTGGTATCTTAACAGGTTTGTCACAATTAGAAGAACTCTATTTGGGAAACAGCTTTGACCAATGGGATGACATCAAGAAGCATGATAAAAGAAATGCCAGCCTTCATGAGTTGACACAGTTGAAAAGCCTAACCAGTTTAGAGGTACGCATTCATCATATCAATATGATTCCAGATGACTTGTTTTCTATAGAATTGAAACGATACAAGATTTGCATAGGAGATGTGTGGCATCACTGGGGCAGTTCTTTTGAACACTCAAAAACATTGAAGCTAAAGCATGATGGAAGCATTAGATTGCCAAGCAATGTAGAGGAACTGCATCTAGAGAAGTTAAATGGGGTCCAGTGTGTACTTAATGAGTTAGATCAGAATGGTTTCCAAGAACTAAAGTGTCTCCAAGTCAAGAATATTGCTCTAGGGATTGAACATTTGTTCTTCAACCCAAAGAAGGAGATTAATAGTGAAGTTCTTCCCAAATTGGAAGTATTATTTCTTCACAATTTGAAGGGATTGCAAAAGATATTTCCTGGCCAGTTTGAAAAGGCGTCTTTGGAAAAGTTAAGAATCATTGCTGTGACAGGTTGCAATCGGCTGAAAAATTTGTTCTCCTTCTCTGTAGCCAAACAGCTTCACAATCTCGAAGAAATTAGAGTGACAGATTGCTGCAACATTGTTGAAATTGTTGATGATGACGTGGAAGAAGATGCTAATGTTATTACTGCTGAAGCAGCTGACTATGTAATTGAGCTTGCCGCCCGAATTCAGTGCTTGAGGTTACAACATCTGACGGAGTTCATTAGTTTCAGCAAGGAAAAGATTATTAGATCCAGTAGCACGTCACTTTTCAACAAAAAGGTACACATTTAATTTATTTAAATCTTTCTTTTCATTCTTTTTTAAGTCATACCTATATATTTTTTTGCAGAATGAAGCTAAGGAAATATAGAGGAAATAATAAGAACTTAACAGATTGGCCAAAAAAAATAAATAAAGAAACATTACATACTTTTTTTTTTCTTATTATTTGTCAAGAAAATGATAAGACGTTTCCTAAAAAGAATGGCATGTTGCGCAGCTTGTGGCAGGGGACAGAATATGGAACCTGACAAAACTGATAATTAAGGGCTGTGATCAGTTAGAAAATCTATTCATTGAATCTATTGGTGATTGTCTGAAGAAGCTTGAACACCTTGAAATAAAGGAATGCAAGAAGATGAGAGACATTATCGTCGGAGAAGCAGGAAAGGGTATGTTTTTGAATTCCTTTAGTAAGTTAAACTTCTTGCTGATAAAAGACCTCCAAAACCTCACCCGATATTCTACTCAGGAAGGTTATACATATTTCCATCATTGAAGCAATTGGCTATAGAGAACTGCCCGGAGCTGAAGGGGTTCGTGGAAGATGACCGAGCTGACAAAACTATCGCTAGCACTGCTCTCTTTCATGACAATGTAATTTTCTTCATTTTACTTGCATTTTGAATTTAATTTTTGGTAACTTAATTAATTCCCATTTGTCTTTAATCAACAATCCAGGTATACTTTCCTACTTTAGAAACGATGTCAATCTCCAATTTGAAAAACTTGAATATCATATGGATGGAATGCGACTGGTTTTTCTTTCGTAGATTAAACTTCATGCGCATAAAAGATCTTCCGAACCTCATCAGACTCAGTGAAAAGCAGGTAGATGAAGGGTTCATATCCTTGGAGCAGTTGACTATAGAGAACTGCCCGCAGCTGAATGGGTCCCTCTTTGATGAGGAGGTAAATTTTCTTTATTTTGCTTGCATTTTGGATTTAATTTTGGGAACTAATTCTCCTTTCTCTTCAATGAACAATGCAGTTTGAACTTCCTGAATTGAAAATAATGACTATCTCCCACTTGGAAAACTTGAAGATCATATGGGAAAATCTTGCTGTAAATTCCCTTCGCAACTTGAGATCATTGAGAGTTACATATTGTCAGAATCTATCAACCATTTTTCCATGTAACAGTGACATCCCCAAAAAGCTCTTGGAATCACTGAATGAGTTGGAAATAATTGGCTGTAGTTCAGTAAAACAGGTGTTTGAACTTGCACAGTCAGACACCACAGGACAAGCTGACCAGGCAGAAGAACATGAGCTGAAATTCCAACAGCTAAAGGTCATTACTATAGCTGACTGCCCAAATATGGCTACATTTGCTTCCACCTTCTCAAGATACCAAGAGCAAGAGACATCTGAACCCTTTTTCAGCACTAAGGTCAGTTTCTTTCTGAAGATTTTTCTTTTTATTTTTATTTGTTTCCTTTCTTTTCTTTTTTTCTTCAATTTCAAGTTAAATATTGTTATTAATTAAATGCCATATGCTCGGGAAAATCTCTGAAAAATTATTTAAAATTCAGTAGAGTCATACAAGGCGAGTAAATTGTTCTAACAATGATGAATAAAGTCCTGTGAGATTCCTAAAAATTTTGGGAACTAATTCTCCTTTCTCTTCAATGAACAATGCAGTTTGTATTTCCTAATTTGGAAAGGATGACTGTCTCCCACTTGAAAAGCTCGAAGATTATAAGCGAAAATCTTGCTGAAAATTCCTTTTGCAACTTAAGATCATTGGGAGTTTCATATTGTCAGAATCTATCAACCATTTCTCCATGTAACAGTGGCATGATCAAAGGACTCTTGGAATCTCTGCAGGAGTTAGAAATAATTGGTTGTAGTTCAGTAAAAGAGGTGTTTGAACTTGAACAGTCAGACATCACAAGGCAAGCTGAGGAGGCAGAAGAATGTAAGTTGATATTCCAACAGCTAAAGGTCATGACTATAGCTGACTGCCCAAATATGGTTACATTTGCTTCTACCTTCTCAAGAGTCCAAGAGCAAGGGACATCTGAACCCTTTTTCAGCACTAAGGTCAGTTTCTTTCTGAAGATTTTTCTTTTTATTTTTTTTTTCCTTTCTTTTCTTTTTTTCTTCAATTTCAAGTTAAATGTTATTAATTGAATGCCATATGCTCGGGAAAATCTCTGAAAAATTATTTAAAATTCAATAGAGTGGATTATCATAAAATGGTAAGGGGAGTAAATTGTTCTAACAATGTCGCATAATGTCCTGCGAGATACCTAAAAATTTCGATTCATTTTCATGTCCTTTCTTTGAAATTATTGTTTTATTTTGGCTGAAGAATAGTAGGAAAAAAAAAAAAAAAAAACTTCTCTTTACAGGTTGAATTTCCCAACTTGGAGTTGTTGGTTATGGAGGACTGTCATGGATTCAAATATCTAATGACACTTTCTACAGTTCAAAGTTTTTCTCAACTCAAAGAGCTTGTGATACATGGTTGTAAGACGATCGAGGAGGTAATAGTGACAGAAGAACTTACAAAGGAGAACAGGATCTCTTTGTTCCCCAAACTCAATAGTATGGAGCTCGAAGACCTTCCAGAACTCACAAGATTCTGCTCTGAACCACAAAATCTGCAAGCGACTGCATCATTTGTATTTCCTAATGTAACAAACCTGAAGTTTTCTAAGCTGCCCAAACTGGCGAGTTTCTTAACTAAGAATGCTACCGAATGGCCCGAATTAACAAGTATTCATGTGCGTGAATGTGACCAAGTTCAGATATTTGCTTTGGAATTCCCATCCGGAGACAACCAAATCGAAAGTAGGACTCAACAACACCCCTTATTTTGGGTCAATAAGGTATGATCATGGTAAACATTGTGCTTAGATTTGTTCTTGAAAAAGCTGGAGGGTGGTGAAAAATTATAGAATTTTTTATTTGTTTGTTTTGTTTGATCTTTTAATTTCACATATTTAGAAAATAGCAAATGAATCAACAGGGACTTGAAAGGCAGGAAGGGAGTAGCAGATCAAACACTATAGATTTGAACCAACAGGGACTTGAAGGGAAGGAAGGTAGTATCAGATCAAGCACTATAGATATAAATCAACAGGGACTTGAAGGGCAGGAAGGTAGTAGCAGATCAAGCACTATAGATATGCCTGCAGTTTCTTTTATGAATTTAAGGACTCTGAATTTATCAAGATGCCATGGACTCGTTACGGTGTTGAGATACACAATGGCTAAGAGATTGGATCAGCTGTCAAAAATGAGCATAACTGAATGTTCGAAGTTAGAAGAAATTGTGGCATGTGAGGATAATGAAGTGGAAGATGAAATTGTTTTCACCCAACTCACATCTTTGCGACTTGGTCTTTTATCAAGACTTAAAAGCTTTTGCTCTGGGAAGTGCAACTTTAGTCTCCCATCTCTGGATGAAGTGATTCTAAGCAAGTGTCCAGAAATGAGTACCTTCTCCAATGGAGTAGTGAAAACAGAGAAACTGCAGAAAGTGAAGCTGACTGAAGAAGATGATGCTGGAATCTGGAAGGATGGTGACCTTAACTCCTCCATACAATATTTGTTCCCTAGTAAGGTATGCAATTATGCATATGTTGAATTAGGTTTCCTTGTGCTTCTTAGTGATTTTTTTTTTTCCAAGTTTTATTTACTTATCCTAGTTAGGGCACAGTTTGTTTTGACAGGAATAGCTATTTGCATCATTTTGCTTGGGAATTTTGTAGTTGGTTTCCACTTTTTTATTTTTAACTTCTTCTCTATGATTTTGGGTGAATATGTTCTTTCTTATATTCTTCATTTATCTTAAGGATTTCAGTTTGGAAGTGTACGTATTTGTTCTTTGGGCTGTGAAAGGAATATAGAGAAATAATCATCAAGGGCGATAGATGGTGCATTAGGAATGAGTGTGTGGTGAGGTTTTTGGATGACCTTTAGAGAGGGGAAATGAACATCAAACAGTTGTTCCCTCTTCTATATGCTTTTCCACTAATGAGGCTTTAACAGCTAGATAAAGCTTTGGAATGGTGGGAGGTGGGTGTGGGAGTTATGTTGAGGAAAACAACTGAATCAATTCCCAGACAGCCTATGTTGTAATGGATGATTTCCAACAATCACCTATAATATAAACTGATTAATTAATGTGTTGCAAAATCTGAAAATTTTTAGAAGTCTTATGCATTAACACTTCCTTGGAGAGCAATTATTCAGGAGTGGGCATCGACCTGTTGAAGACTTGTATTGAAAGTGTTATTCCCAGAAAAGGAAAATGTGATTATCTTCTGCTTACCTATCTCATTTCTTTAGTTGTAGAAAAGTAACTATGAAAAGCTAGGTGTCTATGTCTGTTTATACAGTGCAAGAAACTTGATTAAAACCTTAGTTATGAATATATAGAAGAACATTTGTCATTCTTTCGCTACATTTAATCTGCTAGAGTTATTGATCTGATGTTGTAAACATCGCCAGAAGACATGATGATTGAGTCTGTACAGTACCCTTTGGGTTTGTTGGATATTCTATATTTTCTACAATTTTCTCTGATCAGCAATGGTTAAATCTCTCTATTCATTCCACCTCTACATGGCATCATTGTGCATAATAATTAAGAAATGTTTACAATCTAGGATTCTCCACTCCGTTTAGTTAAAAATGTATAAATATCCCTCTTTTTGGAAATTCTAGTCTGTGGTCTATATTATGCTAGTTGCCAAGGATGGCTCAAAGTTTCTGATTTATAATTGATTTTATGAAATTTTAAGAATCATGAATTAACCTTTGATGGTCTTTAGCTCTGTAGCATGTTCTTGTTGCCCTCCTTCAAATTTAAGAAGCATAAATATTTCTACTTCAGATAACATTGAGAATAGTTTGGTTTATAGAATGTTAATGGAATTCTTTAAGGGTTCTATTACTTAGTTCTTTGTAATTTTGTATTCCTCATCTTCTTATGGATTAATTATACTGGCAGGTAGTAATAATATAATTGCACCAAATGTCCCTAACATGATGTTATGTAAATTTAAATTTTCATTATCGACTGGAATCAAGAAGGAAAAAAGGCATAATGGTGAACTTTTATCGTAGACTAGCTGTGGTTATCATATTATTCTCATTGCATCTGGCCCTTACAGGGGAGTTGTACATTCCTAAGCGCATATTCTAGCATGTTAGTAATTCAATGCAACTTGTTAAGTATGGACAGTTGTTGCTTTTTCCTTTTCTTACTTGTATAGACATTTTCTTTAGTTTGATTATGTTCCACATTCGACCTTGTCTTGGACATATAGTTAACTATGTATTAGGCTTTTTTTTTCCTCCTCCTTTTCGGAAGGCAAACTATGTTTTAGGCTTTGTATAATGTCTTAGTAGCTACTTTAGAATTTAACATGGTTTCTTTTTAACAGAATCACCCAGCTGCTGAACCTTTCAAGACAAAAACTCTTCCTCATTTAGATGAGTTTCACGGAAGAAATGTGCAAGGTGTTAACGCAGTCATTGAGGACAAGAAAAAAGATGATGGTCAAGAGAAAGAACAAAATGAAGATGATGGACTTGACCATAATGAAAATAAAGGAGAAAATTCTGTTTCCTTAGATGATTCGCATCCATCTGTTGCACAAGATGCACAAGAATCAGCTATGGTAAACGAAATGAAGTAGCTTTGTCATCAAAGGAAAAGAAGAGAGATGAAGAAAGGACTTGATGGAACTTTGTGGGTTTGGGACTTCAGATCAGACCAGCTACGAGCTTCAGGATTGAAGAAAGGACTAGATGAAATAATTTAGTTTGGTTTTTGAAACTTAATTAAGGATTGAGTTAATTAGTTTCCTTTTCCTTTACTGTTGCTGCTTTTTATTTGTTACTTGAGGAGATCATGTTGATAAACTCTTTTTTATTCTATGCACGCTCTTTTGAGGAAAATTTTTATTATGTTCGTCTTCTCAAATTTATATGGAGATTTTCTTTCCATTCAAACGTTCAACATCTTGATCAATTAAGAACATTTGGTATCATTTCACTTGACTAGATTTAGTCTTTGAACAACTATAGTGTTGAATACAATACCACAAACCTTATAAATTCTTTGTGACGAGAAATTACAATCATAATAAAGAATATTATTCATCAAAATTTTGTAGATCTTAAGATCTAGATCAATATATGTATGAATTTTAAATGACAATAACATACTTTAAATAAAACAAATGCATAGCTGCTTATGTGTTTGATGAAGTCATGATAATTGTTGAAATTCGTCCATTAAGAATTTGTTAGATCTTTCTTTATTGGTTAAATGCTAGATTTGGTCCCTCAACTTTAGTGAGTTGCACATTTTTGGTCCCTTAACAATTTTTTGCACTTTTTTGATCCCTCAACTATACGAAATGCACTCCGTTAGTCCTTCTGTTAGTTTGAGCCGTTAACCCGACTTAGGTGGCATTTTTTATATTTTTTTTGATGACATGGAGATCAAAACTTAAAAAGGTGATGATTTGTATAAAATTTTTGCCATGTCACATTTTCTCGGGCTGAAAACGCACCAAATCTATCAAATGGGTCCCACATCACCAGAATTGCTTCTTTCTCGTCTGTTACTGTCTCCCACATCAATGTTCTTTCCATTTTCAAGATTAAAGTTCGACAAAATAGAATCCGTTCCATTTTCAAAATTGAAGTTCGACAGAATATAACCCAGCAAATACATTCCACCCAGCTCGATTCACTGAGCTCAATTGCTCAAAAATCCCTGCAATTTGAATAATCTCGACAAACAATCATATAACCAAAAAAAAAAAACCCAATTGCCCAAAAATCCCTCACAACAACCTGCAATTCGGATAATAATCTCTTGGCAAACAATCATATAAACAAAAAAAAAAAAAAGGTGGATTTGGGTTCTGGGTTCCATCGGAGCCCAAATCTGCTAGGTTCCATCGGAGCCCAGCACTGGGTTCCACCGAACCCAGCACTGAGTTCCATCGAACCCAGTTGCTGGGTTCGGTGCCGAACCCAGTTGCTGGGTTCGACGGAACCCAGCAACTGGGTTCGATGACCCGAGGAAGGAGAGGAAGAAAGAAGAGGAAGGAGAAAAAAGAAAAAGAGAAAGGAAGAAGATGAACTGAGTTTTTTTATTTTAATTTTTAAAAATATAAATAATAATAATATGAGTTGGCATCAAAAAAAATCCACGTCTACATGTTTTCGATTTGTTTTTTGCCACGTCATCAAAAAAATTATAGAAAATGCCACATAAGCGAGTTAACGATCGAAATTAACAGAAGGACTAACGGAGTGCATTTCGTATAGTTGAGGGATTAAAAAAGTACAAAAAATTGTTGAGGGATCAAAAATGTTCATTTCATAAAGTTAAGGGACCAAATTAAGCATTTAACCTTCTTTATTTCACCACATAAAGGAAGATGGCTTCAATTTTGTTAAAACTCAAGAATATTTAATTTGACAAGAAGTTAAAAAATATATATTTTTTTGACTAATTAAATTATAATATTAAAAAATAATATGAATTATAAAATCCATTACTTCTCTTTCGTTCCCTCCTTAACTCTTCACTTTTTTAAAATCAAACATATAAATTTCGTAATTTATAAATTTCTGAGGCTGCTCAAAAAACAAAGTCCAGAATTCTATTTGAGAGCCCAACTGAAGCCCATATCCATAGCGTAGTCGTGTTGGTCTGTTGGACTTGGACGCCAGACAAGAGTGGCATTAGCAGGATAAAGCTGGAATGGAAAGAAAGAAGCTTGAGGGGGTGTGGGAAAATGGCGGGAATCTGTTGGCCAAATCCCCCTCTAAATCGTAACTGGATGACCCATCAGTCGTCGTTCAATCCGCAGAAATCCCACGGCGCACGATGCTGCTCAGCTGCACCAGGAAATGGGAACGGATCCAAAACGCCACGACTTCTCAAGTTGGCAGTAAGCGGCGTCACACAGCTGCTTAGGCTTTTCTCTTTCAGCGAGGACAGGTATCCATCTCTCTCTCTCTCTTCTGTTTGGATGGTGAGAAAATGCAGAAAGAAAAAAGTCCTCTTTTTTTTTTTTGGGTTAATTGTACAAAATATGAATACCCGGTGATATCCTCCCAAGAGGGGTTTTTGATTTTTTTTTTTCTAAATCTATTATTGAATTTAATTTTAGGAGATTGGATGATGTGAGCACTGGGGAGAAAGATGAGATTTTGGTTTCCGGAGTTGATGATGTTTTAGGGATCCTCAAGGCTGATTATAATAATGCTTACTTTGTTACAGGTGCCTTTTTCACCTCCTAGAATTTGTTCAATCTGTTGTTATAATTATTCAATTCCCTGCATTTTTTTATTGCTCTAGCTTTTTTGTGGAATTTGATATTTGCATTTGAGATTACTGTGTAGTTTATATTTTTCATTTATTTTGAATATGATATGAATCGATTCCATCTGTTTTTTTAACTTCTTTTCCCAATTGTAATAGGGGTTTTTACTTCTACAATTTATGCTGACGATTGTATCTTTGAAGATCCAACTATTAGATTCCGAGGTAGGATGAATAATCATTGATAGAGATACACTGTGAATAGTAATTTTATATATTTTCCTTGATTGATGTTAATAGCAACCAATTTCTCTCTAATCTCATCGATTTTTATCAATCTTCATTTGCAAAAAAACGACTTCTTAATTGTCTTTTTTTTCATCTTCCTAATTTATCATCTGTGTCAACTAAGCTCAATCAGTTTTTTAGCATCATATTTCAATGAAGACGATTCTCCCTCCTTTCTTTGTCTTTTTAGTTGGATTTATTTCACGGTGGTATAACTAAATATTTTCCCATTTTTGGCCACTTTTTTGTTTTTGATTTATGTTCACGGATGCTTTTGGATAATTGGATTGGATAGAATAGATCATGTCCTTCTGTGGTCCTTACTCCATGCCTTTTAGTATCTAAACTCCAAACTTCTAAAACTTATTTGGATTCTCAATTTTTCCTTTTGACAATACAACTCATTTCTGTTGATGACAGAGGATAAAGAAATATGCTAGTATTCTTGTTTTGCTGTAACTTTTCTGAGATCTTTCATATGTTCTGCAAACCTTTTCAATGATGGTAACTCAATTTTCTCCATCATTGAGCTAATGTCTGGAAATTGTCTGACTTACATGGTTTTGCTATTCAGGTAAACAGCTTTATTCCCACAACTTGAAATTGCTTCTTCCTTTCTTTGATTCTCCATCAATTGGATTACAAACAATTGAAAAGGTAGTCTTTCTTTACAAATGACATTTCACATATATGAACTAAGATTTGATTAACAATTGCATATTATGATATTTGATTCTTCTTATTCAGTTCCTTGTAACCAAGTTTCCTTTATTTGAGTGGACATTATTTAGTTAAACTATACATTTATTGTCATCTTATCAAATCTGTTGAGGAAAAGATAGCAGGGTAAAACTATTAGAAGATCAAGCGTTGACTGGAGAGAATGGGATTTGCCTAAATGTCTTTTTCACGTTCATTTTAGCCTTAAAGTGATATGGCTAGAAACATTTTCTCTTCTCATTTGGTGTTTATCTTGGTTAGATTTGACGTCCCCAATTATAAATGACATGGAGTGAGCTTGTAGTTGACCACATGCCCTTTGTGCAGGGTGTCAATTTGGAAACAAATTTTGTGCTGGCAAAATGGAGATTAAGGTGTACACTTGTCGCTGTTTGCACACTGTTTTTAGATAATCAAACTAACTTCTCATTTTGTTGAATAATCCCATGAGAAAGATGGATTGCTTAATATCTAGAATTTTGCACTGGCAAACATGGATATTTTTTATTTACAGCTAGTTATATCTGATTTGTAGAACCTACCTGAAACTTCCATGGAGGCCTCTCATTTCCATTGATGGAAGCACAATCTACGAATTGGATGACAAGTTTATGGTGAGAGATACATAACCTTATGCTGGACCAAAAAAGATCCATTAACCTTAAATTTTGCTGAAGTATGTACTTGAACTCAACTATATTCTGACTGTGGCCATTATTTGAACAGATTGTTAGGCATACTGAGCGTTGGAACGTTTCTGCACTTGAAGCAGTTGGTCAGATATTCACCCCTAGTTTTGGAAGCCCCAACGATTGAACACATTACTAGCATCCTTTCTGGTCGAAGTCAGGATAGCTAAAGTTGGCTGACGGTGATGGCAGCACATGCCATCGCCCTGTTTTGCCTAGCTCTAGTTTTTGCTTTTGTAAAAACTGAACGTTGCGTTTGGGTTACTGTTTGAGAGTACTTTTTTTACATGGTACCTCATTAAAAAGTATAAATTTATTATAATAAAATTAATTTTAATTAATATTTTATATAATTTAATAATTATATTAATATATAACACTTTAAAAAATAATTATTAAATGATTACACAATTTTTATAATAGGAAAATACTTAAAAAATTATAATCACAATAATCTCTATAACTTTTGCAGCACAGAATTCTTTTAAAAGTAACACCAAACAAGTATGTTATTTTATTTTTCAAATAAACACAATAATAGGAGAATTAATTAAAATTTGTCAATTTAATTATTAAAAAAAATGAGTTCACCACCCAGATGATGTTATGATACAAGCAACATGAAATATCAAAGCAAAATCTTCTTCATTTTTATAAATTACTTTTCACTATAAAGCTAAGCATGTGCTTTCGCTTGACGTAGAAGATTCACCAAGAAACTCCGACCTCAACTGCATCAGCAGCCTGCCGAGATAGTTAAGGCCTTCTCCTTCACGGCCACCACCCAGAAAAGATCATGTGGTGAAGCTTCGACCAGTACAGACCCGGCAGTTGAAAGCAGCAAAGAATTCAAATGATGATATATCGAGAATTTGCATTTTAATGGCCAGAACTTGACATTGATCTTGACGCTATCCCAATCAGATCTCACCTGCATTGCATATTTGCATAAATATTTGGTCACTCAAGTTCTCACATATATTTCTGACCGGGAGGGGAGGAAAGTAATGGCATATATGGATTCGGTATAAAAACATCATATTTCTCAAGACCGTACATCAACATGTATGCATTATAATTACTTGGCCTTGTATAATCTACTTGGCCGGGTCTCATTCTCTTCTTCTTGATTGCTTTTGATTTCTCTGTCTGTCCATACACTGCTCTGCAGAATCGGAACTTCTTCCCTTTTTCTTGCTTGTTCTTCTGATTCCTCTGCCCATCCATTCCTCTAATATGCCTGAGTCGCTTTCCACGCCTTCCCAGAAAGATCGTTCTCTCTCGAGCAAATCTGCAGAATTCTCTTCCTGCTCAGTTTGTTTGGCACTAACAGCATTATTTGCTGCACTTTCTTCTTTGATGGTCTCCATGTCCCTCTCCCAATCTCTGCTTGGGTCTTCCACTTGTACTCGGCCTGATCCATTATTTTTGCAACCATGGCCTGAAACAGCCAAACCCGAGACAAGTTCTTCAAGCCCATTTGTATTTAGCCCAATAGATCCTTCCTCTTGCTTAGAATTACCACCGCGTTGAAATTCAAATTCTGTTTCTCTACCTTCGTTAATCTCTGCCTCCACTTTTTCTGCTCGGTCAGTTGGTACCAATGCATTCATTGCCCATTGGTATCTCGTAACTGTCAGCAACCATCCCCACTAAACATTCTTCTCCATTAATGATGTCAGTGCCATCCGTCGGCACTGCTTCCTTATTCCCCACGCTCAGAGAATGATCCACTCTTTCTCATTGAAGAGGTTGATAGACTTTTTAGCTCCCACATTCAAAAAGCTGGCCAAGTCATCACCGGTACCTAGACCATCATCTCCTCCATCTACATCTTTCCACCCTTCATGACTGTTTGTGTATAATTCATCTGTTCCATCATCAAAAGACCATGTATCATCTGCATTTGAATTAGATATGCTGGGACTGTTTACATTAAAATTTGATCTTAACTGAAAGAACCCACTATTAGATTCTTCCTTTGAGACTTTAATAACATAATGTTCCCCATTGACCTTGATTCTGAGGGTTTTCGATAGGAATTCCATGAATGGAGAAGACACCAGAACTCTTGCCACATCGAATCTTAACTTCCTACAGGTACTGTAGATGAATTTGCCCCATAAACATGCACTAGTGGAAAAGAATTTCTCCCTCCATGCATGTAATGGAACTCCTTGGCACCTTAGCCAGACAAACCTTTCGTTTGCCACCATAAACGGATTTTAGGGTCGATCTCCTCAAACCATTGCCCCAGCCAGTCACTCGCTATCTCCACTAGGTCCTTATGTTCATTCTTATCTCCACAATCCAGTAGCACCATCTTTACTCCCATGGTTGGGGTCTTGCAAGAGAAATATCCTTCCATGTAAAGTCTTTCTTGAATCATAGGAACAATTTCAATTGACCGAGTCATGCCCACATAACAACTGTCAGGCCATTCCTATTCTTCCTTAAGGAAATTAAATTCTAGTTTGGTCCAGCCTTGCTCCCTCTTCTTCTCTTGCTTTTCCCTTTAATTCCCATGGTTTTTGCATTACCACTGACTACATCTCTGTTTCTTATTCCACCTTGACCCTTCACAACATCTGCATAGCATTCGTCTGTGTGGCATTGCTATTCCTCCCCTCAACAATTTCTGATCCTTGGGGGTCACCAGAAACCAATCGCCCTTGACCATCTCCACCGTCAATCTTCGATACTCCTTGTTGCTCTCCCTGTATCAAGGAGTATTCACTGTTAGTTTGAGATTTCCAACCATATTTGGTTTAAGCTGCATTCCAACTCAATCTCATTCTTTACTTCAAGGAAGTGCACAAACCCAAATCTTTCCCCGGACTTGTCCTTTTGGTTTGTACTGTATATTGCATTGACCCTTCCATATTTGATGAAGGTTTTCCACATTTCTTCATATAGTTGCAGTCATCAAGGAAGATTGTGAAGAAAAAAATAGTGACTTGATTGTAGAGGTTCTAGTCGAAACCACCGTGGATCTGTGGTCTCTTCTCCCTTCTTTGATGCCCCTCATCTCTGATTCTTTCTTCATTCCTTGCTGAACTCCAAGTCATCCACCTTCCCAGTTGTCTTCTTTCATAATCTCTGAATCTTGCTAAACTCCAAGCTATCCGCCCTTCCCGTTGTCTTCCTCCGTAGTCCCTAACCGTTGCTCTCCCTCTCATGACTCTTTCTTTCTCCTCCTTCCAGTGTAAATGTTGCCTTGTTATGTTGATGCATTTGAATTTGATAGAATAGATCATGCCATTTCTCTGGTCTTCACTCTTTTTCTTTTAGTGTCTGAACACTAAACTTCGTCATACGGTTTAGTAGCTTGCCCTAATACTTCACATTCAAATGCCTCTTACCCACTCATAAGTTGTGCTGCGCATGCCTATTTTAATGACAGCAACTCGTTAATTTTCTTCTTGAAATTGGCCAACATTTATGGTTTTTCTTCTATTCAGGTTAACTTGAACTTGCTTCTTCTTCCTTTCTTTGATTCTCCATCAATTGGATTACAAACAATTGAAAAGTTAGTAGTCTTCCTCTATAAATTGATGAAAAAGAGATATTTTCATTGGGGAAGAAAGGCTAAATTTAGTATTTGGTCTATTTTAATATTGGTACCATTACATTTAGTCAAAATTTAAATAATTCAATGTTAATTTTTTTTTTTTTGAAGTAAAAGGTCTTGAACTCAAATTGTTTGATATATGAGTAGAATGAATTAACAAATTAAAAAGACTTATCTTTTATTATGCAATCTAAGATTAAAAAAAAAAAAAAAAAAAGAAAAGAAAAAGTATCTACTTACCCAGTAGATGTGCTGCTAATTAAAAGAACAGAATTGAAACAAATTTCAAATTTCTTCACTACTGAGGAGTGGTGCAGAGTTATGCTAATCTTCATATCACTTCTGCAACTAGTGAAGAACTTCAGTAATGGAGTCTTTGACATGTCTATGTCTTTTAGCTTTCTTTCTGGATGGGCCGGGCAAATTGAGTCATGTTGTTGCATTCAGAATACGACCAATTTAAGTCCCTACGTGAAACATATACTTCACAGAATTGATTTTTAGGACCTGCTGTACTATATTTATTAGATTAAATGATTTTTTTTCTTATTTCTTAACCTACTTTACCCCTATATTTTACAATTTGAATTTATGATGCTCCACTCAAAAAAAAAAAAAAAGGAAAAATTTTGATTTAGCTATTTGTAGTTTGAGATAAGTGCACATAAGGACTTGGGAGTTTAAAATGTGCATATAACATACTTGTGGTTTTGGGTATGTGAAGATAAAAACCCAAGATATCAAAATGTGCACATAAACACCTAAACTCTACAGTTGGTGCAAATAATCACTTGAAATTTCTTAAAAACCCCTAACTTAAAATAATGAAAAGAAAAGAAAAATAAAGAAATATAAGCGTATTTAAGATAATTTCGTGCAATTTCAAGTGATTATGTACATCAAGTACAAATATTAGGTCCTTATTTGTACATCTTGAAATCTCAAGTTCTTATGTGCACCCACCTCAAATCATAAGTATGTTATATGCACATTTTAAAATTTTGAATCTTTTTATACATCAACCTTAAACCACGAATAGCTAAATTGTAATTTCTCCAAAAGGATATTATTATTGGGCTATTTAAGTCAATAGTTGGTATGTTATGTGAAATTAAATGAATTTATTGAAACCAATTTAAAAGATTCGTTATATGAAATATGTCAATCAAAATGTTTTGACTCCTTTTTAACCTTTATTATTCTTCCTAAATAGCATTTTTTCTTTATATCTGGGGAAGCAGAGAAGTGGAGCATTGGGCATGGGAGTGGACTGGAGTGGAGTCATTCCAAAAAAGAGAGAAATTTGCAGATGCAATTTTAGCTTTAAACCTAGTGGAAAGATTTTGCCTGCTCGAGTTCGAAGGCCTTTCGAATGTCAACTGATTTGCTTTTGAACATTCTGTCATTTCTTACACTCCTAATCGTCTATATGTCATCCTCCAATGTGCCTCTCCGGGTCGGAATTTTGTCATGCATGAGTCTTCAGCAAAAAGAACTTACTTTTGGAGGCTCTAATACTCCATTTACTGTAATTATAATTTTTATAAATTTTATAACTTTAAATAAAAAATTTTAAAGAGAGATTTATTCACATATAAATTTTATAC